AAAAAAAAAAAAAAAAAAAATGAGAGGGATGGAGGATTGACTACAGAAGAGTAGAATGTGATGTGACCATAGAAGCAGAGAGACTTAAAGATTCTTTGGTGTTGGTTTTGAAGAAGAAAGGGGTCATGAGCGAAGGAATGCAAGAATGCAGCTCTCAAAAATGAAAAAAGCAAAGAAACAGATACACCCCTAGAGCCTCCCTCTGAAGGGAGTACAGCTCTGACAACATCTTGGTTTCAACCAGTGAAATCATTTCAGTCTTGTGGCCTCTAGAACTGAGAATAAATCTGTATTGTTAGGGTAAACTGAGGCAGTGTGGGCTGGAGCCACGGGAATAAAGCAAAGATTTGCAAAGGCAAAGCAAAAGAGTTTATTCACATTTAGAACAGACACTAAATGGGACGGGCACTAAGAGGCAGTGTGGCCAGGGGAGTTGAGGAAGGAGGGCTTTTATAGCTTTAATCAAGGAGACAGCATAAAGAAAACTCTCCAGCAGCTGCATTCCTAAGTCTTGATATCACCAGTCTTGTGTCCTTGCCATTGTCAGGGCTACCAGGCCTTGGTGTTGTCAGGGCAACCAGTCCTGTGAATTTAGGGCCTTCAGCCACTGGTGGGCTGGCAGGTGGTCATGAAAGGCTGATTACGATTAGGTCAGTTTGGTCTTTTATAGCTGGTAAACAAAGGCCTAGAATAGACATACTTGGGAGACAATTATTTCTCTCTCTCTTTTTTTTGAGTTGGAGTCTCATTCTGTTGCCCAGGCTGGAGTGCAGTGGCATGCTTATGGCCACCGCAGCCTTGACATGCTAGGTTCAGGTGAGCTTTCCTCCTCAGCCTTCCAAGTATCTGGAACTACAGACATGTGCCACCATGTGCTGCTAATTTTTTATTCATTGTAGAGATAAGGTCTTGTCAAGTTGTCCAAGTTGGTCTTGAACCCCTGGGCTCAGGCAATCCTCTCACTTCCACCTCCCAAAGTGCTGGGATTACAGGCATGAGCCACTACACCTGGCTCAAAACAATTATTAATTTAATTACTAATCTCCAGAAAGCTGGTTCCGTCCTTGGCTAATGATTAGGAAGTGGGGAATGGAACAAACAGTTAGTAATGTGTGACAAAAACTTAAGCAATGTTAAGATGGCTGTTCTCCAGCTAGGTCACTCCATTTTGACTACACTCTTTTCATGTATTATTTTAAGCCACTAATGTGATAAACAGCAGCCACTGGTAACAAATACATCACCTAAAAAATGACAAAACAAAGCCAGGCTCGGTGGCTCAACCTGTAATCCCGCACCTTGGGAGGCTGAGGTGAGTGAATTACCTGAGCCCGCAGGTTCGAGACCTGCCTGGGCAACTTGGTGAGACCTCATCTCTACAGCAAATCAAAAAATTAGCCGGGTGTGGTAGCATGCGCCTGTAGCTCCAGCTACTTGGAAGGCTGAGGCGGAAGGATCACCGGAGCCCAGCAGGTCGAGGTTGCGGTGACTGGGAGCAACCACTGCACTCTAGTCTGGGTGACAGAGTGAGACTCCAACTCAAAAAAAAAAAAATTAATGACAAAACAATCCACACTCAACTGTGATATGAAAACATAACATTTGAAGTCCATTTTTTTTTTAACATGGTAGGAATACACTGGTAATTTTAAAAGTAAGAAATCAAATGTCATAATACAGTGACATGCATGGCACTTGAAATCCTGTCATGTTGTGACTGCATCATTGCAATTTATAGTGTTCCAGGCAACAGTTTTAGGCAACGAGATGACTACGAATGGTCTCTGATGCAGCTGCTCTTCTCTGCCATTATAGTACACACACACACACAAAAATGGGGCAACCCCCTCGGGTCCCCTCCCACTGTGGGAGCTTTTCTGTCCTCTCAATAAATCCTGCTTAACAACAACAAAAAAAGAATGAGCAAGACTGTGTTCCAATAAAGCTTTATTTACAGACACTAAAATTCAAATTTTACACTTTAATTTTTACATGACAGAAAATAGTTTTCTTCTATTGATTTTTTCCAATTACTTAAAAATGTGCAAAAGGAGTGGGCATGGTGGCTCAAGCCTTTAATCCCAGCACTCTGGGAGGCTGAGGTGAGAGGATTGCCTGAGCCCACATGTTTGAGAACAGCCTGGGCAACTTGGTGAGACCTCATCTCTACAATAAATAAATTTTAAAAATTAGCCAGGCATGATAGCACGCATCTGTAGTTCCGGCTACTTGAAAGACTGAGGTGGAAGGATCGCCTGAGCCCAGCAGGTGGAAGCCGTGAGTGTGCCACTGCACTCCAGCCTGGGCAATGGAGTGAGACCCCAAAGCAAACAAAAAAAAAAAGTAAATGATTCTTAGCTCACAGATCATATAGAAACAGGTGACAAGCTGAATTTGTCCATGACTTATTGTCCGTCAACCCCTGAGCTATAATTTATACAAGAGAAAAATGAGACTGTTAGCTTCAACAGTTTGGAGGGCACTTTTAACTTGACAGAACCATACTCAGTGTTTTATGTTAATTCATATCTATATCCTCTAAACAATCTTCTGAGGCAAATACTATTATTATACTTATCATATTATACTATATTATACAGATGAGGAAACTAGAAAGATAAATGTTCAATATCTTGCCCAAAGATATTGAACTTCTGCAGATATTGAGTGTCCAATAGAACTTACTGAAATAATGTAAACATTTCATATTTGCTTTTCTAACATAGTAGTTACTAGTCATATAACTATGGAGAACTTGAAATATGTAACTAAGAAACTGAACTTTTAATATTATTTCAATTCTTTTTTTTGGGGGGGGTTGGAGTCTCACTCTGTCACCCAGGCTGGCGTGCAGTGGCCCGCTCATGGCCATCACAGCCTCGACATGCTGGACTCAGGTGATTCTTCTGCCTCAGCCTTCCAAATAACTGGAGCTACAGGCACACACCACCATGCCCGGCTACTTTTTTTGATTTATTGTAGAGATGAGGTCTCACCAAGTTGACCGGGCTGGTCTTGAACCTATGGGCTCAGGCAATCCTCTCACCTTGGCTTCCCAAAGTGCTGGGATTATAGGCATGAGCCACTGCACCCGGCTTATTTCCATTTTTATATTTTTAGTAGCCACATTGGACAGTACAGCTCTAGTGAGGAGAACGAGGGTGAATACAGGCAGAAAAAGAACAGCTGACCATGTGTCTCACAGGCAGTAAATGAAGGAACTTAAAACCCCAGAGTCCACTTCTTGACACCAAAATTACCAACCAAGAACCAACAGAATCCAGGAGTCTCTGGGCAGGCATTTGTAGAAGTCACTCTGCATAACGATTAGGTATTTCAAGAAAATAAAAATTACAATTGTAAACTGTCCAGGAGCCTGTCCAAGGTGATCCAATCTCCAAGAATTATCATCTGAAGACTAATTGTAGGTATTTTGGGAGACACCATGAGGTTGGCCATCATCAGCCCCATGCCATGGGGGTCCAGAGGAAGCTCCGTGTTGGTCTTATAAGTACATCACAGGCAATTTTATTCCTTTAGAGTATATAAGGAAACCCATTATTTCCTTGCTGAGGACATTTCAGACACAGAAGACCAGTGCAGTTTGGGAGGATGTAAGTTGGCAAGGACATGAAGTTGGTGAGCTGCCAACCCAGCTGTAAGTGCTAGCCAACATGGCAATCCCTCAGAGGGCATGTTTTACTTAAGTCCATTTGGAACGGAGCTTAGGTTCTTCCAGGAAGCAGTGGCAAGTGGCAGCTGTGGACATGTGGGGGCATGAGCACAGGTGTATATATCATGGAAGATTTGCAGCGTGCTATAATGTGTCCTCTCTTCTTTCCAGTGGGAAAAACAGAATGTATGATGTCCTCCAAGAGACCATTGAAAGTGATTTCCCAACCTTCCTGGGCAAGATCTTTGCTTTCCTCGCCAATCCAGGCCTGATCATTCCAGCCATCCTGCTGATGTTGTAAGTGAACCAGGGCCCATGGCTCCACATCATGGAAACCTCTCCTTGGAGTTGAGACTTCCTTGGCAGGTTCTTTTTTGCCCTCTTAGTCTGGACTCCATGACAAGAATTCAAATGCAAGTAGTTTATCAGGGAAAGGTAAGGACTAGAGATAGGGAAGTGTGTGGCTATCACTATGGGAATTCAGACATTATGCCTCAGTTATCTCTCCCTAAGAGTGAAGAATCTGGGACATTTGTAGACCAGCTCTCAGTCACTGAGGGCCACTGGAATTGGTTAATTTCCTGGCAATTTTGGCTACTGCATTCATGGATAGAATGGCTTTGGGGATGTGAGTGGAGGGTGGGGAAGCTTCTGGTACAGAAGTGAAGGTACTGCAATTGCAAGTCTTTTAGAAAGCACACTGAAAAATAGGATCAAAGGGATGTGGGTGAGCCCTGACAGTCACTGCAACAACCCTGACAACACTCATTAGAAATATCAAAGACCAGGCCAGGCGCGGTGGCTCACACCTATAATTCCAGCAATTTGGGAGGCCGAAGTGAGAGGATTGCCAAGCTCACAGGTTCAAAATCAGCCTGGGCAGCTTGTCAAGACCTCATCTCTACAATAAATCAAAAAATTAGCCGGGTGTGGTGGTGCATGCCTATAGTTCCAGCTACTTGGAAGGCTGAGGCAGAAGGATCGCCTGAGCCCACCAAGTTGAGACTGTGGTGGCCATGAGCATGCCATTGCACTCCAGCCTGGGCAACAGAGTGAAACTCCAACTCAAAAAAAACAAAAAAAGAAAAGAAAAAGAAACACGCCTGTAGTTCCAGCTACTCAGAAGGCTGAAGCAGAAGGATCGCCTGAGGCCAGTAGGTCGAGGCTGCGGTGGACGTAAGCGAGTGTGCCACTGCACTCCAGCCTGGACAACAGAGTGAGACTCCAACTCAAAATAAACAAAACAAAAAAAAAGAAATATCAAAGACCTTTGGGCTCTGAGTCTCTTAAAAAGCTGAGGGGCTGACTGAGCCTGCCCAGGCTGGGCCCACAACACTATTCCATGTCCCAGCCTGTGCTCACCCCCGTCCCCCTCTACAACTGTTTAAGCCCTGAGGATAGTGGGTGAGTTTGATGATCTCTGTATCCCCAACACCAGCCTAAAGCCTAGGCATAGGAGGCAAACAATAAATGTTCAAGAAAGAACTAGGGATGGAAGGTAGGAAGCAAAAGTCTTGGATCGGAATTGCTGCCATCAGAAATTGTGCTAGTAAAAATATTAGTATTTTTTCTTTATATAAAACACATCTTGGCATGATTTTTAAAAATTATGAAACATCCCCAACATATAGAATAGTACAAATGACCATGTACACTATTACAAGAATAAACACATGTTAACATTTTGCAATATTTTCATCAGGTCTATTTTTCCTTTTAAAATAAATATAGCCGGGCTCGGTGGCTCAGCCTGTAATCCCACGCTTTGGGAGGCTGAGGTGAGTGGATTGCCTAATCCCACAGGTTCGAGACCCGCCTGGGCAACTCGGGGAGACCTCGTCTCTACAATAAATCAAAAAAAATTAGACGGGCGTGGTAGCGCGTGCCTGTAATTCTGGCTACTCGGAAGGCTGAGGCGGAAGGATCGCCGGAGCCCAGCAGGTCGAGGCTGCGGTGGCCGGGAGCGGCCACTGCACTCCAGTCTGGGCGACAGAGTGAGACTCCAACTCAAAAAATAAATAAATAAAATAAATTTAATGTTGCAGATTCACTTTGAGCCCCACTCAATTATTATTTTTTCCTCCTTTCCCAATGGTAACCATTATTCAGACTAGATTCGATTATTTCCATGAATATTTTGGTACTTTTATCACCTATGTATATACTATTGTTTTCTGAGTTATAAAACTTTTCATGAATGGCTCACATTAGATACTTTTCCACAGTCAATAATATGTTTGGGGGATTTATCCATGTGGATATATGAGCACAAATTTAAATGACTCTGCTATGTTCCATTATATAGATAAACCACAGTGTATCCATTCCTCTGCATGGAAATAGATTATTTCCACTTTTGGCTATTCCAAACTGTGCTTTACCCAACACTTTTTATATGTCTCCTTTGTACAATTGCCAGCGTTTCTCTAAGTAGACATCTACAAGTGGAATGATAGGTCATGGTATTTGTTTCTTCAGTCTTTTTAGGTATTACAGAATTTCTCTTCAAAATGGCTGTATTTCCTTTTGACTTCTTTTTTTTTTTTTGAGTTGGAGTCTCTCTGCATTGTCCAGACTGGAGTGCAGACACTCACGACCACCCCAGAGTCAACTTGCTGGGCTCCAGCGATCTTTCTGCCTCAGCCTTCCAAATAGCCGGAACTATAGGCACACACTACCATGCCCAGCTAATTTTTTATGTATTGTAGAGATGAGGTCTTGCCAAGTTGTCCAGGCTGGTCTCGAGTCCACAAGCTCAGGCAATCCGCACACCTAGGCCTCCCAAAGTGCTGGGATTACAGGCTAGGTCACCAAGTCCAGCCTTGACTCTTTATTTAAATATAAATTCCAACTCTCTGGTGAAATTTTCCATTTTTCTCTGTAATTTCTTGAACATAATGCTTATTTCTAACATCTGTGTCTGATATTCCAATATCTATATCACTTATGGGTACATTTTTTGGTCATTTTTTTCCCTCTGGTTTATCATTCAGTCCTACTTTTAGCCTGGGTGACAAAGTGAGACTCCAACTCAAAAAAAAAAAAAAAACAACAAAGAAGAACTGGGATAAATATAAACTTTTTAGATTTTTGGCTTACTTACATTGTTCTAGTTATTACTAGTTATCTGTTCTAGTTATCACTAGTTATCTGGTTATCTCTAGTTCTCACTAGTTTAAAAATAAGAAGCTAAAGTTAAGGGAAAGAAATGTTTCCGAGCTTCTTGGCTTACTCTTATTATCTAGTTACCTAGAGCAATCTTCATTATCTCTATTTATTTTTCTGTTTATATTGGTGTTACTAGTTCTCAAAAGAAGCTTCAAAAGTATTCAAAAGGCCAGTTATGGTGGCTCACAACTGTAATCCCAGCACTTTGGGAGGTGAAAGGGAGAGGATTGTCTGAGTCCAGGAGTTCAAGACCAGCCTGGGCAACTTGACGAGGCCTCGTCTCTACGATAAATAAAAAAATTAGCTGGGTGTGGCGGTACACTCCTATGGTTCTAGCTACCTGGAAAGCTGAGGCAGAAGGATCTCCTGAGCCAAGAAGGTAGAGGCTGCAGTGGCCATGAGTGTGCCGCTGCACTCCAGCCTTGGCAACAGACTAAGACTCTTAGTCCCAAAAAAAAAAAATTTTTTTTCAAAAGTCCTCCAAACTACTCAGAAATTATTTTATTGCAAATCAGAGGTAATTAAAATTAGCCAAAGTAATACTTGTAAGAATAACTAATCTAAATATAAAACAAATTAGATATTGTATTCATTGTTATATTTTTTAAAAGTAGTGTTAGTGCACACAAGCTCAGACACTTTACTCAATTTTTTATTGCTTGTTAGAATACACCAAGATAAATGCAAGCTTTATCTGATCAACAAAGGTGAGAAATACCCCTCATCAAACTGTAACTTAGAGCTAAGACAAATGGAAACATTATATGTGAAAAAGATCTTAAGATCACACATTGTTTCCTTCCTTCCTTCCTTCCTTCCTTCCTTCCTTCCTTCCTTCCTTCCTTCCTTCCTTCCTTCCTTCCTTCCTTCCTTCCTTCCTTCCTTCCTTCCTTCCTTCCTTCCTTCCTTCTTTCCTTCCTTTTATCCAGGCTGGAGTACAGTGGCATGTTCAAGGCCACCACAGGCTCAATCTGCTGGGCTCAGGCAATCCTTCCACCTCAACCTTCCAAGTAGCTGGAACTACAGGTTTGAGCCACAGTGACTGGCCTACTATGGCATGTAATTTTTACTGAGTTCCAAACATGTGAATAAAAAATTATAAAGGCTATGGATAACGTTATCTTTCACCAAAAGGATAGGATTTTTTTATTCTGAAAGACACATGGAATACTAGCAAATCACTTAATCCTGTTAAGGGTTAGTATTTCAGTTATCTATTATTAGATAAGAAACCACTTCAAAACTGAAAAACAAACCAATAATTTATTTTACTAATGAATCTGCAATGTGGGTAAGGTTCAGCAGGAATGTTCTTTTCTTCTCTACTATTCATCAGCTGGGTCAGCTCAACTGGGGATGAGGGGTCCACTTTTAAGATGGTCAGTCACAGCCGGGCTCGGTGGCTCAGCCTGTAATCCCAGCACTTTGGGAGGCCAAGGGGAGTGGATTGTCTGAGTCCACGGGTTCAAGATCAACCTGGGCAACATAGTAAGACCTGTCTCTACAATAAATAAAAAATTAGCCGGGCATGGTATAGCGCATCTATAGTTCCAGCTACTTGGAAGGCTGAGGCGGAAGGATCACCGGAGCCCAGCAGGTCAACACTGGGGTGGTCATGCATGTGCCACTGCACTCTAGCCTGGGCGACACAGTGAGATTCCAAATAAATTTTAAAAAAAGAAGATGGTCAGTCACACGACTGGCCAGTTAGCATTGGCTGTCAGCTAAGAACTTAACCACAGTGACGAACTAAAGACCTCAGTTCCTCCCCACAAGCTGCTTGGACTTTCTGATAGCATGACACCTGGGTTCAAAGAGCAAGCATTCCAAGAGAGCACAGTGGATATATATGACATCTTTATAACCTAGCCTCAGAAGTCGCATTCCATTACTTCTGCCATACTCGGCTGAGGCAATCACAAAGACCCACCCAGCTTCAAGAGAAAGAAATATAGACTCATCTTTTTTTTTTCCATTTTAAAGATGTGAGGTAGACTCACCTTTTGATGACAGCATGGCAAGATTCCAGAAGCACATGTAAGATGGGAGCTATATTATTGTGGCCATCTTTTGGAAAATACAGTTTGCCATTGTTAGCTTTTAGCTTTCTCAGGGCTGGTCTATTTCAG